AGCAAATAACGCCAAAGAGTGGTATTCAACTAGTCGAGGTCGAGTTAAGTCAATCACTTGTTCGAATTAAGTTACCTGAAATCGACGACGACCTGTCGGCGGCTCAGCGTAAGGAATGCCAAGGAACACTTGCACCTGCGTTTCGTTGATCCTCCAAATACGGCCTTTGACGAACCCCTGTTCGGTCTTTACTGTTCGAAAGCCTTCTAATATTTGACTCACAGCCTCCGAATGCAAGTAAATGATGAACAGTAGGAGTTGCCGACAAAAGTAATGCATCGTCGACACGCTGAGAAACAGCTACAGAAAGGAAGATTCGAAAATGTACTACCTCAGCACGACACCTCGCCCATTGCTAGCGCTGTTTGTGATGATTAATCGGATCCGTCCGAAGAGCGGCCAGCGACCACAGCGAAATCTGAATTGCCTCTCAACGGTTAGCACGCATCATGTGTGCAGATCGGATCGCCGTCCTCGTGTAGCGCTGGCGTTGACAATGGCTACGTCTCGTGAGTCTGCGGTGATCATTCACAACAGCTACAAGGCGCGGCCGTGCGTTCCGCTGACGCCGCCGTTGTGTGCTATATTTATTATACACCTAGGTGCCAAGTAACGGTTCATCCTTCGGCGAAATCGACCGCGTTCATTAATGGTCAAGTCGTTGGTTCATTGTCCAATTAAATTACTGTCAAAATGCGCAGTGACCCAGCAATCACACGTAACAGACTAGCTGAGTGTTAAAATGTTTTACCCTATGATCAGTTTCCTTTGGCAGCGGAGACGCTCTTCTGACAATCGCAGTGTACCAGCAAACTTTTCTCCGTCCTGCGCATTATATCTTCCTTTAAAGTAATACTAGTTTACAAGCTACGACGTTATTTAGCAGGCATTCATATCGAATACGCCGGCTTCAGGCATGCCGAACATATTAAAGTCACTTTGTTTCTGAGTTAGCGACCTGTTAATTTCATCAACCTTCGTGCCATTTTCTGACCGGGTACAAGAAGTCAATTTCTTTTAGCCAAAATTCAATTATGACTGAACTTCCTCAACTACCAAGAATTCTAGTTAAACATGCAAACTCTGAATATATAATTTCAACGCTCGTAAAGAAAGGTAGCAGACATTTGGGTAGCAGCCTTCCTGAGGACCCTCTTTTACGCGGCAGCCATAATTGATGTAAGCTAACCATTGATTACCATGCGATGGACGAAAAAATGAATTTGAGAATCGAGTGAACACACATTTTAATTGACACATGCCTGGAATACCAACTGCATTTATTAGCTAACCAGCTGTGTTCGTCAATAAGAATACGTAGCAACAATAAGTGTTTCACCTTCTGCCGATCATCATACTGAACGATCAATTGTTATACTGGTCAGTCAGAATTGCAGTCGTACGAGACGTTTGTTTAACATAGCATGGCGAACCTCCCGCCTAGTCTAATACGACTACACCAGAACATCATGCCGCTTCTGTTGTTCTCAAATCAACAACCTGATGCCCGTTTCTTGACTGGTTGCACGGAAGTAATGTAAAGCATATTCCTTGCTTAAGTGAATTTCTATTTAAGACAAGAATCTTTCCTTCTCTGAATTCGAACTCAGCACCTTCAGTGCTCGAAGCCTGAATCGCTGCCACAATGCTATCCCGCCTGAAAGATTGCAATGATCTTCAACGGAAGAACTGAAGATTGGAAATTATTCAGAACCGAAATGAATCAGATTGACAATTAACGCCACTGCTCTTAAACATAGTCGTAACCTGTTTCGGCGGCCTCATTTCTCATCAAGACGTCCACGCAGGGTCGATCAGTCATACCCGATGACCCTTTATCCTGTTGGGTCACGGAGGCAGAGGCGTCAGACAGTTTCTCCAACGTTACTGATCATATGCTAGCGTTTGAACTTCTGCAGAAGGTAACCCGAGTCTGGAGCAGAGTCCTTCTAGAGACTTGTCCCAGGCTATTTTTCTTGTCCGGGGTCTTCACTCGGTCGGTTGAGCAAGCAGTACCTGCTTCGCCTTCCTTTCTGGAGACATTCGCAAGACGTACCGAAACCATCGCAGCGCTGAGTTCTTAATCGGCAGAAGCAGCGTCTGTACACCAAGGCTCTCGCTGATGTTTGCATTCCGGACATATCGACATGCATAAAGCCAGCGATTCG